AATCAAAATAATATATACCCACCAAGTACCATCAGTCCTCTAGAGGAGTACAATGAGAATCCCCTAGAGAAAATACAGGACATGGAACTTAAAAGAACAAGTTTAACATGATAAAAGAATTCAGTGAATTTAAAGAACACACAAAGAAAGAAATCAAAGAACTGAAGGAAGATAGGGATAAACTGCAAGAATTCAGAAGAGAATTGAAGAATACTCAGGTGGAAATGAAGAAAGAAGTGAAAGTCAGCAAGCCAATTAGGAATGAGAGGAGAAAGCCTCATTAATAGGATGAATGAAATGGAAAACAGAATATGAAGACTGGAAGACAAAGTGAATGAATTAGACCACTCAAGCAATGATCATGAAAAATTTAAGAAAACACAAGAATGGAATATGAAAGAACTGTGTGACATCATAATAAAACCAAATTTACGAATCACAGCCATACAGGAAGGAGAAGAATCTTAAAATAATGGTATGAAACAGATCTTCAACAGGATTGTAGAAGAAAATTTCCCAAAATTAAAAAAGACATTCCCATACAAATACAAGAAGCATATAGAACACCAAATAGACATGATCAGAAAAGAAACTCTCCACAGAACATCATAGTAAAAACACTAAATGCACACAACAAAGAGACAATACTGAAAGCTGCAAAAGAAAAACAACAAGGCACATATAAAGGAAAAACCATTAGGATTACAGCTGATTTTTCGATGCAAACTATGAAAGCCAGAAGAGCATGGACCAAAGTATTCCCAGTTCTAAACGACCACAGATGCCAACCCAGATTACTATACTGAGCCAAAATGTCTATTTGGTGTTCTAAGTGGAAAGAAAAATCTTCCATGACATAAATAGGCTGAAAGAATTCATGTTCACAAAACCAGCCCTTCAGAGAGTTCTTGAAGCAATACAAAGAGCTGAGGAAAGGAACGACTATACATATGGAAAGAAATTCAATGAAGGTTTAACTTAGGAAATGCACATCTATATCAAGAATGTGAAGAGAAATAAAAATGACAGGATTCAATACACATCTTTCAATAATAACTTTAAATATCAATGGACTAAACTCCCAAGTCAAAAGACACAGAGTAGGTGAATGGATTAAGAACAAAACCTATCTTTTTGTTGTCTCCAAGAAACTCATCTCACTTTCAAGGATAAACACTACCTTAAGGTGAAAGGATGGAAAAAAATATACCAAGCAAATGGTACTAAGGAAAAAGCAGGCATTGAAATTCTAATATTTGCTAAAATAGACTTTAAAACTAATCAGAGGAGATAAGGAGGGCCACTTCATTCTGATCAAAGGAACAATAAACCAAGAAGATATTACAGTCATGAACATATATTCACCAAACTCTGGTGCACCCAACTTCATAAAAACACTACTACAGGACGTTAAGACCCAGATTAGTCCCAACTCATTAATAGTAGGGGACTGCAATACCCCATTGTCTCCATTAAATAGGTCAACAGAACAGAGAATTAACAGAGAAACATCTGAATTAAACAATACCATATATCAAATGGACCTAATGGACAACTACCAAATATTCCACCCAAGCACCAAAGAATATACTTTCTCTTCAGTGCCCCATGGAACCTTCTCCAAAATAGACCATATACTGGGGCACAAAACAAACCTCAACAAATACAATAAAGCTTAAAATGAACACTGGAAGAAACCCTAGGAAACACATGAATGCACGGAGATTTAACAACACACTCCTGAATGATGAATCTGGTCAAAGGAGAAATTAAGAAAGAAATAAAAGTATTCCTGGAACTAAACAAAAAGGAAATACAACACAACAAAACCTCTGGGACTCGTTGAAAGCTGTCCTTAGAGGGAAGTTTATAGCTCTAAGTGTCTACATTAAAAAATCGGAAAGAACACAAATAAATGACTTAACATTGCAACTCAAGACACTTGAAAAGCAACAAGAAATGAAGCCCAAACCCAGCAGACAAGAAGAAATAATAAAAATCAGAGTAGAAATTAATAAAATAAAAACAAAGCAAACAATACAAACAATCAGTGAATCCAAGAGCTGGTTCTTTGAAAAGATAAACAAGATTTCTTTCTTTTGGCTAGCCCAGTTAGCCAAAAGAAAGAAAGAGCATCTCCAAATTAACAAAATCAGAGCTGAAATGGGAAACATCACAATAGATACCAAAAAGATCCAGAATATTATAAAGGAATACTTTAAAAACCTATATGCTATCAAATTTGAAAACCTAAAAGAAATCAATGAATAGGTAAAAAGCATGGGAACCACCAAAACTAGACCAAGAGGAGATTAA